TATCCCTGTTGTTGTTTGTTTTAACAACATGTGTTTGCTTTGCTGTTTTGTGGTGATGGCACACTTTACTGGCATTGCGGCGCGGGACGCGTGGTTTTCGCGATGCAAGCAGATGGCGCGGGTCCAGGACAAACTCCATGGCTTCGTTTATTTCCGTTTACAGCTATGTTTTCTGTAACCCTATAAGCCTAATTCTGGGCCTGAGGCTGTGTCCCGGGACGGTCGCGCTTTCATGGCACCGGCAACTGCGGTGGCGCCTTGCAAGTTCAGTTCAGTTTTCTTGAATATAACAAATAAAACATCACAGTACTAGAGAAGCAGTTTGTTTGAGGAAGTACATGAAAGCGGTACCAACTAACTCCAGGGTGGGCCTCACTTCGAGTCAGGGCCCTCAGGACTGCATGCTTGCTTGCATGTCATCAGCCAAGTCTTATCATGACCTGCCTCGCTGTCTATGTTCTTGTATTCCATTGTTATACCTGATACAGTTTACACTAGCCACGACTCTAGGATACAGGACGGACCAATAGCTTCCGCGCCGTCTTGACCTGAACAAGTGCAACTCTATAGTTCCATAAGCTGGAAAATGGAACAAGACTTTCCCGGAAGTATTGAACTCCGGTGTGCTTTAGGGGATTCCTATGAACATCAGAGCCTAAACATGATACCGCTTAGTTTTGAGCTGGGAGGTAACATGATATCAGCTAGCATGTTCAAGGAGCAGAATGCAATGTATTACTTTAAAGGCTGTTCGGGATCAGCCAGGAGGGCCTGGCCATCGGCGGGCCCGTGCCTGGCAAGGCGACCGCCACCAGCAACTTCATGACGCAGTTTCAGAAGAAGGTCTTGGACAAGATCCTGCGACCGTCAACTATCACTGCAGACCACGGTGCTGTGGCAGCCGCAGTGGGAGCTGAGGCAGTGGATACTGCGGCTAACGACGGTGATGGTGCAGCAGCGAGGGCAGCCGCTGGGGACCACGAACAGGCGGTGGGTGGCGGAGAGGCTGCTGCCATGGGCACGCATGCCGTGGATGGTGGCACGGGTGGCGGCCGCACAGCAGGCGTCGCAGCAGCAGCAACCGCAGGGGGGGACACCGGCACGGGTCCCAGGCAGGGCGAGGCGGGCGTTGCCCAGGTAGAAAACCTAGCAGTTTGGAACCTGGGGAGCATGTTTAACAAGGTCGAGTGGTGCTGATGGGTTATGTCAACTTTCAATGTCAGGGCAGCTTGTTGGGTCTTACCCTGATATTTTACCTTGAACGTAAGCACTGGGTGTTGCTGCCCCCCCACCACAGGACAAGGATACCAACAACAACAATGCGTTCAAGGAGAGGGTCGGCGAGGTGCCAAGAGCAGCTAAGGGTGCAGCTGGCAAGCGCAGGCGGGGTGGCGGTGATGACGACGACCTGGGTGCGAGGTCGGGGCGCAAGGTTGGAAATAAACGGCAGAAGGGGAACAAGGGTGCAGGCTGGGGCAGGGGTGCAAGCAAGGGGACCACCAGAGGTGCGGGGAAGGGTGGCGCAGGCAAGGGAGGGCGGAGGGGGCGGACAGAGGAGGGTAGCTCGGAGGGTGGGTCGGATGCTGGTGAGGAAGAGGTCCTAGCCGCTGGTGCTGGGGAGGAGTCCAGCTCGGAGGACCCGGGCAAATATAGCGAAGCTAGCAGCAGCAGCAGTGGCAGTGGCAGCAGCGACAGTGGTGGAAGTGAGCAGTAACATGGCAGCAGTGATGAGCGCTTGGGGGTGCACACACCATGTCGGCCCCAGGCAGGATGGGACAGACCAATCCCAATAGGTGCCAGTACATGTCATGCATCGGGGGTTTCATCCGTAGGAGTAGGCATGAACTCTGCAAGTGGTGGTGAGACTCCTTGGCGAGCACTTGCTGTATGGGGGGTGACATGAACGCTGTTTTCGAGGATGATGGTTGAGATGAATGCATCAGGCTGTCAGGCTGGCTGGTTGGCGTTGTGAGTCCAAAGCGCCTTGGTCCACAAGCACACTGAGACTTAGGCTACTTTGACAAGGGGTGTGCGTCCATTTTGAGGCTTCAGGTTTTGTGGTTCACCGTAGAATGCTTCAAAACATGCGAGTCACTGCTGCACCAGCCGAGAATCGAAGTCGGGTCTGGTCCGTGGCAAGGACCTATGCTACCACTATACCACTGGTGCTCTGTAAGACACGGGAACTGCTCGAGTGAACATCACTGCACACAACTATATCAAGAGTTACACACATGCAGACATACAATGTGCACAGAATCACGTGTTCTATATACCTAGGTATATGGGTATGCCTCTCTGGTGCCCGTAATAGGTTTGTCTGAGGGAGCACCAGTGGTGTCGTGGTTGCATATATGGGTCCTTTGCCGCAGACTAGACTCGAGTTTATCCTCGACTGGTGCACAAAAACATGCATGTTTTGTAGCATTGTACAGTGGGCCGCTGGCTTCTCAGCATTGCCTTGATTATTGGATGTGCTCTATCCACCTAGTTTGTTGTTCCATATGCCTGAAGCACATGTGTGTTGGTAGCAGGTCCAGGTGCATGTCCGAGGTAATGTGTGCTTTGCCACATGCCAATAACACCCAGGCAGGAAGGGATGAATGCTCTGGCATATTGAACTGTAAAGTGCTCTGTCCTGCGCCATAATAGACGCAAAGACATAAGTACACAGCAGGGAGATGGGTGAATGAGTGAAGATTGCCAACCTGTATTAGGGCATGGTTAGCACCCATAAATATTGAGAATAAGATCCTTGCCCCAACAACCGCCCAGCCATGCCTAAATACCTGTGTGCCCAGCAAAACATGCCCATGGCCCCATGCATGCCTAGGTGATGTACACGTGATTGTGGGATGGGCTGTGCCCACTCACTCCTCACATGCCTAGCAGCCAGAATGAGGTGTTGGGTGTTTTTCATGTGCTATGGCAGTGGTCGTGTGGCTTAATGGATAATTATAAGGCATCGTCCTCCAGTTTTATGTCCAGGATGGAGATTGTGGGTTTCAGTCCCTAACTTCCCCCATGTTTTGGTGAACCCTCATCCATTGCATCCACGCCAGCTTCTGCAAAGTCAGTGGCTTTGCGGGATTGGGCGGCCACCATCAGAATCCAATAGAATCTGCCAGATCAACCACAAGCATCAAGTCTACTCCTTACCGGCTCCACAGATCACTCACTATAACCAGATGCAGCTGCTGTGGGTGGGAGGCCCGAAGCTGGTGGTCTACTGGCCATGGGGAGCATGCCTGTGAGGAGGGAGTCACAGCAGTGTGAAGGAGTGTGAAGTCCGTGTGAAGTCGGTGTCCCCACAAAACCTTAAAACCCTAATTGCATGTAGTACATACCCTATGGCAGTCCGGAGACGTGTAACTCGTCAGGCTCGGTAGCTACGGGGCAGTTGTCTGGACAGGTTACTCGCCAGCTAGAAGCTTGATAAATGTGCAACCTTGAAAGTGCCATAATTAGGCACAGATATGCGCGCTGAGTGTGTGAAATGTTATGACGAGGTTAGTTAACATGTTTGCCATCAAATATGAGTGTAGGAAGGCATTATTTGTCCTTATGATTTGCTCTCTACCTACGGCCATTTGGCAGTCCAGAGACGTGTAGCGCCCAAGGCTCAGCAGCTACGGGACAGTGGTCTGGACGAGGTTATTTTTGACGTGCAGCCCCGAAAGCACATTGGGAAGCATGAATATAACTGGTGAATGCATCATCAGTGAGGTTTAGGTTAGTTTAGGTGTTTGCCACCTGTATTGGTGCTCCGATGTAATATGACCATTGGTAGTCATGGTCATGGCCCAAAGGAACGCCAATTGTTCAAGCACAAAGTAGAATATAGTTCATGAACAAATAAGTACATAGGCAAGGTTACCCGAGGCCGACGCCGATCGACATGGTCGACCAGGTCCGCCAACGTAGTGGGTCCATGCCACAATATCCGAAAGTCGGCTGAAATCATTTAAAACCGTGTCAGGTTTACTGAATAAAATTACAACCGACGAGGTTTCCATGCCATTGGCTGACATAACCGCTCATGTACGGCTTTGGCTATTATGGCTTCAATGTCCTCTCCATCGAAAAAATATCTTCATTACGAAAGACCAAAGCATGTAGCCATAACTCCCAACTCAGTCGAGCACGATATGGGCCAAGTATTGTTGCTAATCGGAACCGCTTCAAGTGAGAAGGAATTCGGAACAGCTTCCATTGGGATAAGGGATTTGTGTTATATTTTAGTATGCCTTGTAGCAACGTTAAAATAGAACTCACCGCCACTCACTGTCGCTGAACTAGCTTTAGTTATCCTTGGCTGACGTCCAGCCGGGAATGGAGGCGGGTGGCCACCGTGAGGAGGAATTGGGCTCGCTTGGAGAGGTAAGATGGGAGGGAGGGTCGGGGCTGTTATATGTTTTATGTGGGGCATCAAAACACTGTCGTACTCCGATATGGCTATCGGAGTACGGCAGATTTGTTTGATGTAGGCAGGTAGTTGTGGGGCACAGCTGTGCCAGGGTTGTTTTTCTTTGTGGATTTGTTACCCGTTGCCCTACTTTTTGTTCCTGACGCTATGGAGGGTGGCTGGGGCTGGTTGGGGGAGGGGGGCGTGTGTGTTTCGCAGCCGTCATCGACGTGCCTGCCCTAATTCTCATGTTCCCATCCACGTCCTGCACGTGCCGCAGACCTCGGAAGATGGGGCCGACGTCCAGCCGGGAATGGAGGTAAGATGGGAGGGAGGCTCGGGGCTCTTATGTGTTTTATGTGGGGCATCAAAACACTGTTGTACTCCGATATGGCTATCGGAGTACGGCAGATTTGTTTGATGCAGGCAGGTAGTTGTGGGGCACATCTGTGCCAGGGTTGTTTTTCCTTGTGGATTCGTTACCCGTTGCCCTCTTTCTTGTTCCTGATGCTATGGAGGGTGGCTGGGGCTGGTTGGGGGAGGGGGGCGTGTGTGTTTCACTGC